AAATGCGTTTACTGCTGATCGCGGTATGATTCTAAGGTAACCTGAACACGGATGAAGAAATACCGATTCCGTATTTGAGTTACTCAATTGTGAGGAACTCTTCCGTGATTGAGTAAATAAATGGGACAACCGTAGCCTGTAGAGCAAAAAATGCATCATTTGATGTGTACGCTAGATCAATTAGCCCGCAATCCAATGTGCGATTTGTCAACAACAATGGTTCTGCAGTCCATATCCGATTTAAAATTTCACGATTAGTCATTATTTGTATAGCCAGGAATCATTTACACAGCCACAAACATACTTCTCATTATTATTGTTATGAATATTATTGTGAATATAATAATGCATATCAAATACAATACACCACAGAATGTGTTCGAGTAACCATTTAATTCATTTTATCCGATTTTACAAAACACATCTAATTTGTTCTCATGCAGTGGCTATGAACCAGCTGCTTTCGCACTGATCACAATGACTATTGAGCGATTTCTATTGGTCCGCTTTTTGCCATCGATGTCTGGTCTGTTGGGGGATTGGTCGACCAGGTCGCAACCAGAACTGAAGGGGGTGGGGTCTGGCTGAAATGAATAGATGAATGTCAACTCTATTTGCAGGTGGCCAATTGTGTGCATCGATCGTTCGGCCCCCTGTGTTTGGACCAATCGGAATACAGGTTCAATGCAAATCGCGGAACTGGCGGACGAAACATCGTCATCATGGCCCATTGGGAGTGGTTCGTGATAACCGATGAGGGTGCAATGCATTGTGGTTTGTCGATAGATGGTGAGAAACTCGATGCCAGTGGATTGTTTAAAACCATTTTATTTTCTTATCTAGCCTAATGTCAAAAGGTGTATAGGACCTTCAAAATTAACTTTTATACCGAAGTAAGTTTGAATTGCAATGAGATTTGCGTACGGAATAGTCGATAATAAAAAGTAGTTTCAAACCATCGGTCGGTCTAATCGGAGCGTATGGGATTCTAAAACTTTCGAAAGGATAAATTGAAAACGGCGGTATGTATGAGACTGTGACCAGGCTTGATGAGTACCTTTCATGCACTTTGATAAACAGTTTAGCTACCATAACCAGTTTAATTTCATTCGTTGTTTGATCAACAACGGATAAATACAAATTGAGCAATGATACCGTGTAAATTATCCAATACGAATGGAAACTAGTTTTTCAAATGGGATCTCTTTCTTCAGAAGACTGTGTGGCAAAAGGAAAACAATGTGAATCTCAGAGTCCCAAGGACCGATTAACAGGGCTTGAAGAAGTGAATGTGCGGAGTACCGATAGGATAGGACTGCTGTTAAGGTACAGACTAGGCTGAAACAACCACCACAGGAAAATGGTCTTTTGCACAAAATGCAACTGGTGTGGTTCGAATTTTCCATTTGCTCTTATTCCAGCTGAAAAAATTAGCATTCACAGAAGATTTTTCCAGGCAGTATCTGAATTGTTTCGCACTATCGCATAAACTCAGTATGAGAGTCGAACTAAGGATGCCGCCTCGTGGGTATCAAAATCACGTGTAGGGGGTCAAGCAATACAGAAGAAAATGATCAAGATATGTTGACATATAACCCAAACTTGGTGTTCATCAACGTGCGATGCTGGTGGGTTATTAATACAATTGCGTTTTGAAAAAAATGTTTCAGGAAAGAGCTATCTGTACACGTTTCCTGAGAATCTTGAGACCCATTTGCCAAGCGATTGGACAGAGAGGGTAACTAAAATAACACTGACAGATTCCGCAGAATTTTTCCTTACACTCATTTATCGTATGGCTTTTCAAAAGAACCTCATACACGTCAAAACTTACGTGTTTGGGGAGTGTTGCACGAACAGTATTATGTGAGTGCCGTGAACGTCATGTGGCTTTGAGCGAATGTACACATGGTTATGTTGTTTTGCGCGATGCCCGAAATGCTCTACACGCTTGAACCATAGAACCTCTCAAGCCTGGTAATAGCCGCATCTACTCGACCGGAACCAAACAGTGATCTGATTACGAATAGAGCACAACATAAATGTTGGTGGTTCGCACGTCATTGGTAGAACATCTGATTGCTTGATAAATAAGTGTATGCACTTCTTTTGCATTTGCATTTTTACTTCCTTTTATTGAATACACAATGAAACAAATTTCAGGGAGGGGAGAAGCGACCAATCGAAAGGCTACCATAAAACACGCAATGAAGAAAGTCAGGTGGTGGTGGTGGGATTCTAACAATCATCCTTCGGGGTGACAATTTGGTGTTGTTACCACCGGGTCACCACCGCCCAAGATCAAGTAACTCCATAAAATTCGACTGAACTGACAGGGGTGATCAGCTGTTCGATTACTCCACCTTGAGTCGTCTTCACAGTGTACACACAGTGCATCGTCGGATTGGTCGCGTTCAACAACACTCGTATCCGACGGAATGCTCGCGAAGCTCGCCATTCTGACTTCCAGTGATTAGATTGCTCTGTTTCATATCACTGAGCGATTAACTATGAATATTATGCTTATGGAGGACGGTTCCTATANATCAACCGTATTTTTCAGCAGTTCAAGCCCATGCACGGGGCGCTATTGATTTAACACGATTTGGCCATCGTGACCGACAATCCTCAAGTTCCCTTGTAAGCCAGAAGGAACCGATTGTGCCGTGGTTGTAAATCAGTTCACTAGCGAGTAACCCTTGCACTCTGTGTGTGTATGTGTGTGTGATCAATGCACCGTTGTGAACGGAAATGATCTACCACAGACTGGTTAAAGTTGATATAATGGTTCACCGCTAGCCGCTTAAACGAAGAAGGTGACGGTACTGTTCACATGAGAAACTGAGTTTAAAGCAAGATGAAGTTCACGCTCAGCGTTTTGGGTCGTTTAACAACTACCCATTGATTTCCAGACACGGAATAGGATTTTGATTTGGAGGAGTTTGATCTTCAACAGTGAGTCCGGTGCTTTGATTCCGCGGTCCATTGGGATCCGGTATCTTTAATATTCTCGAAACTGTAACGGGGCAGACCGTGTTTACCTTTATCTCACTGTTGCTCTATTTACAGGCTTCTACAGACATGGATGGTATCAACGAACACCAGGACGTGATTACCATCCCTGACAATATCAAACCGGACAGATGTTTAACTGATCGTTCCTCCCTTTGGTTTATG